GCAAGAAATACTCAATTTGGATATCTATGGCCTGAGTTATCAAGGTTTTAACGTCCAAAGGTCAATCTGGATCTCCTGTGTAATACTTCACTGTTTTCAGTAAAACGTCTATATCATATGATCTTGGAAAATTTTCATATTTTAACCTAGAAAACTAATTAAAATTATCTTTCTAATGCCACAAATTTCATAGAAAACGGAGTTGGGATGAATTTTATAAAAATTGTCAAACTTACTGCCCCAACTAATCTTGACAGTGCCGAGGCCGTATATGTGAAGCATAATTCCTTGTCGATGTGCACTTTTATCGGCCATCAAATTTTATAAGAATTATTTTACCAAGTTGGAAATAAGTTTTTAACATGTAATATTTCTATTTAAGAATATTTACATGTACCAAAGGCAAAAATTATTATGTAAAGTACGTGGCCCTCGAAGCTTAAGTTCGGGGCGCCACAGGTTTTGTTCTAACCTAACTAAGTAATTGACCTAGAGTGTGACGAACAAGAGCAATATTGAGAAAAGGAGAAAAGAGGGAAGAAAGACAAGAAGAGGGAAGGAAAGGAGAGAATTTAGAGGGAGAGAATATAAATTTATTTCGTATCGAAGTTTTGTATTGTAATGAATAAGCCCTCTTTATTTTGAGTCTATGAAAATCTAATTTGATAAGGAAACAAAGTGAATATACACCTATTGATATTTATTTCATATTAAAGTTTGAGAAAATTACCTAGAAACCTACCTCTATAGATTAATTTTCAAAAAACAAGGAAATAAATTCTCATTTCACAAATCAGGTGGTAATTAAGCCTTAATAATTATAATTAATAAACATTTAATTAAACTCAATCCACATATTCACCCAATCCTCAGCCCACCCCCATTTCATCCCCAACCCGTTTTCTCCCTCCTCTCTATGCCACCACACCGTACCCACCACCACCCGCCTACCGTCAAACCAAGTCATCGCTACCACCACCACGACATAAGAGTGTCTCGACGATGGTATGGTGTGGCAGAGCAGCGGGTTATGGCGGCTGTCGAGCAGTGGTTCGCATTTTCCTCCCTCTCCTCATCCTCATCTTCGGGTGCTCCGATCCTGTGTTGGCAAGGCGATAAGAAGACGAGAAGGGTAAAGACATTCAAGCGGCCATACGAAAAAGAAAGGTCTAAGAAGGAAAAGAAAATCGACCACATCAAGGATAAAATTGAGGTCCCCAGGTCCACTCCTTGGACTCTCCCTTTTAATCTCATTTGAAATTCTACAAAATTATCGATTACTTTGTTAGACTTTTGCTTATATTTGCGATTTTCAGATGAAAATCCCTCTAGTTCTACATCGTACTTTGTGATAATAAGAGAATTGTATATACATTTTATTAATTTAAAAACCAACCCATCTCGCTCCCCACAATTTTACAACTTTCAAGTTAACTTTTTCTTTTGCAAGATCAGAATAATTGCTAATATAGTGTCTTCTACATTTTCCTGAGGTCAAGACAAATCGTCACCAATAGTTTTCAAGAGGAAATTCAGATCTCATATGGTATTATTGATTCTAGAGTAATTATTTATCAGTAGATGCTGCTATAAGGAATTAAATATGTCGAGATTTTTAATATACGATGCTTGAAAGCTTACAGAAGATGTTCTTAAAATTATTGTAGAAGATAATGATGTGATAGTTGGAGATGGAGTTCCGATTGTTGGATTTATGATTGGTATGCTGTGGTTTTGATTTTACTTTTGATTTTGGATATGTGGTTGGGCTGTAAGTTGGTAATGCTGGCGGTGATGGTTAGGTGAAGGTGGTGCTGGTGGTCCTTTCCTCGATTTTTATCTGGTCACAAGTGATTGTGTTTATGATGTTGGTGGTGGTTGTTAGTTATTGGGTGGTTGGTTGTGGTCGTAGTTGTGTAAGATTCGAATGGGCATTGATGGTGAAGTAGTAGTGATGAGCACAGGGCGAAAAGGTGGTGATTGTGCATGTGGGATGGAGTGGTGATGGTGAAGTTGGTCACATGGTCATTTGCCCCCGGTCACATAAGCCATAGGTCACATATCATTATTAAGGTCACACACGTCACAATTCACACGTCACATATAAGTCACAGATCAGCATAAACAGGTCACAAATCAATACTAACAGGGCATATGTCATTTTGTAGAAATTATAGATCAAATTTATATGTTACATTTTATATTACGAGTCATGAGTAACAAAATTATAGGTTATATAAGTTTTGGCCTATAAAATGTGTGATTTCTGACCAAAAAAGTGGTAATCAATTAATTTAATAATTTTGATCGATAAAAAAGTTTCAACCTAAAAAATTTGTGATTTGTGACTGATTGTGACCAATTTTATATTGATTGTAACTGATTGTGACTTGATCACATTTCGTCACAGTTAAAAGGTTGACCTGGTCACAGACAGACACATTGAATAAAAATTTGATCACATTTAGTCACAATGAGGATATATTTGGTCACAGTTAGTCACAGATAAAACATGTTTGTGACTTGGTTATAGACAACCATAAATTAGACGGTCACAAATAGTCACACTGAAAATAAAGTTGGTCACAGTTAGTCACAAATTACACAAATAGTGACTTGGCTATATATAGTTATAAATTAAACGGTCACAAACAAACACACCGAAGATAAATTTGGTCACAATTAGTTACTTATAACATAGATCTTGTCGTAAAAAAATTTGATCACATGCAACACAAGTTTTGTTATATGCATATTCATCCCACTTGATTAGGTCACAAAGTAAATAAAGCTGGTCACAGGTTATTTCCAAAAAAAAAAAAAAAAGAAGAAGAAGAAAGGTAGTTGCCGAAGGCCGCTGGAATAATTGGCTGAAAATTTTAATAGTATGATTTTTGAAATTTCAAACTTTATTTTCTTAATTTTGAAATTGATCATATGTAATATTCGTCCTGCATGATTATGTCACAGATTTAATAGAATTGGTCACAGGTCACAATATGTACATGTAACAAATCCAATGAAATTGGTCAAAAGTCATTTATCAAAAAAATTGAAAAAATGTGTAGCGTCATTTGTTGGAACGATCGCCTAAGTCGTTGTCGGAATATTTTCCGGCGAAAAATTTGTCACCTGAGCGGTCGTCGGAATCGGGGCGGGTCGTTGTAGAGATCGCCGGAATTCTTGCCGGAGGTGAGTCGCCAGAATTCTGGTTGGAGCGGTCGCCGAAATTCTAGTCGGAGGTAGGGTGGGTCGTCGGAGTTGAGGTTGGGTTGAGAGAGAGAGAGAGAGAATTGTTTGAATTTAAAATTTAGTGTGATAGGTTATCTGGGGTGAGGTGGGAGAGAGAGTAGATTAATTATATTATAATTAAATATTTAATAAATTTAATTATCACCTTATTTTTGAAAGATTTTTAGATGTTTGTTAGTTGTGAAATGTGATTTTTAAATGTAGGATTTGTGTGGTGTTCCCTTAAAGTTTTGCATTGTAATATATAAGCCCTCTTTATTTTGAGTCTAAGCAATCTAATTTGAGAAGGAAACAAAGTGAATATACCCTTATTTAGTGAAACTAGAAAACCTATCAAACTATAACCTAATTCTAGTCAAACTAGGAAACTATAAAAGACAATAATAATCTAATATAAAATTAAACTACGTTTATTTCCCATTGGTTTATAGTAGAAGCTTGTGTGTGATAGTGAGCTTTATATGTTTCAGGATGTGTCCTTGGGTTCAGAAGCTTCCTAGTATACCTTTATTTTCTCAATGTATTATGGAGAAAAAATTATCCATGTTTGTTTTCATTTGAAGGGTTTAGCAAGCAGGTTCTTTCTTTGTAGAGTTAGGGTATTGACTTAGGACAATATCATTCTTAGTGCTTGCAAGCGTTTTTAAGTTCCTATATGTTGTGAGTTCTATGGAACGTGTAAGCTTTGCCAAAAATACACTTAGAGTGTGTTTGATTGATATAGAAAATATCATCTAGAAAAGAAAATATTTTCCATCTTTTGTGGAAAATAAAAACCATCTCTACCCAAGGAAAATGTTTTCCTTAAAAACAAGGAAAATTAGGCATATTTTCAAAAGTTGGAAAATGTTTTCCATGGAAAAAAATAGCAATCAAACACTTCAAGTAGGAATTTGGATGGAAAACTGATATTTTCCATGGAAAATAAATGTAATCAAACACACCCTTAATTTTATGAACAAGAAATCCTTGAATATTTTCTTTCTTCAAAGTTATTTGGGTTCTTCAGCCCTATTGTTTCGTTCTTCTGTTAAATCAATAGAAGTTCTGGGCATATGTCAATTTTTAATTATGACCTGCTACTGAACGATAACAAATTCGAAGCATGCTATTTTCTAGTCCGTCCATCATGGGAGTTGTGAGGCAATTTTGACGGGTTACTACTAGTCTTTTCTCCGGTAAATATTAGAGAAGAGAATTTTGTGCTAATAAATTTCTATGGTGTAGAAGCAATCAGCATATTTTGTTATTGCTGCATTTGATATTTGTTAACATAAATCTGAACATACTTCCAGTGTGGCAAAAAAGCAATCAGCATATTTTGTTATTCCTGCCTTTGATATTTGTTAACATAAATCTGAACTTTCTTCCAGTGTGGCAAAAACTTGAAGCAGAAAATCCAAAATTTTTCAAGGCATATTATCTTAGGTTGATTGCAAAGGACCAGATATTGCGATTTAATCAATTACTTGATAGACAGATTCAGTTAATGCGCCAGTTGTATCCAACAGCTGTTGCTCCCATTCCTTTGTCCGATGGATCTCAGAATTATGCAAGTAAGCAAGAATTTTGATATCTGGTTTTCTTTAAATGAAAGGTTATACCTTATTCTGTAAAGCAAAAGTTATACAGATAGAAGGGGTGTCCCTCTGTTGCCATTTATTTCCTACATAGATGAACCACTGCTTGATGATATACATATTTATGTGGGAATTTTTTATGTGCTCCTCTGAAAGAAATTTTCTATTTGAGGGGCGTAGATCTTTCTTTCTCTTTTCCTCGTGCTTTGCTGATTACTTTTTCTAGGGGTTATGCTCGTAGCCATAGGGTTAATGAATGTGCCTCTCTACTTTATCAGGGTCTATCAATGGATTGATGAACTATGGTTCACTAATTAGTGCTATTAAGCATTAAAGTTGTCGATAACATACTGCTATTTCCGATTAATCTTCATGTCTAAGTCAGCTTTATATGACTATGATAACAAAATTTAGGTGCTATCCCCCTCATTTTAATGACTCAAGCACTATGGAAGATTGCCATAAAAGACTGAAAGTGATTCTTTATATTACTTGCATGCTTTTTTTGATCCCCTGGATAGTCTTTTGAATTTTATGGAGTACATAGCAAGCTCAATGTGGCAGTCCATTTTACATTTTAAAGGGGAATAATACATACACTCTTTACCATCCGTCTTGTCTACCAAATATTGCCTAGACTGTTGATCATACTTGATGAGTTTGCATATATATGTTGTGCAAATGGTATAGAAGAAGTTATTACTGTTAGAGCAATTGTTTTCGTTGCTAGAGCAAGTTTTAACAACTGAAACACGGCACTTCTCCTAACTTCTTTTTCTTCCTGAGACTTCTTTCCCTTTCCCCTGGATACTTTCATTCTGATTTTCGTGTTGTACTGGACACTAGCCTGTCGGAGCTATATATTGTGGCAACACTTTTTACTTTCCATAAAAGTCTTTCCTTAATCTGAATTATTTAGTTTGTCACGTCAAATGTAATTTATCGTTTATCTTGAAGGTGATGAAACTGTCACATAGGTTTTGCGGCTTTTGTCTGTAAGTTCAGCTAGTTCTGAACATCTCAATTGATGCTGAGGGGTCTAATATGATTTTCATTTATAATTCTGGCCTGTTACAATCTTTACTCCTAAATTTAGATATCAATTGAAGGTTAGGAAGAGAAATTTAGGTGTTGGGATAAAGACAGATCATAGGATGTTATTCTGGAGCTGTGATTCACGATTTTGTCAATTTCTTTGTCTTATCTAAAACTTGTTGCTGCTCTCATGAAGTTCTAAACAACCTTTGTATAAATGAGACTCTGCTGGTTAGAAATATGAGTGATATCAAGCTCTGGGAATTTTGTTTGACAATTTAAATGGTAGAGCTCCAATGCTACACCAACATAGTGTTGGCAACATGGTGTGAAAATTGGCAGTAAATTCGAATTTCTCTCATTTATTTTTGAAACTCCTGTTCATTTTTCAGAATCAAATCTCTTCCACTTTTTCTAATTTTCTCCTACTCTACCCTCAATTTATTGCAATATCAATTCTCTCACATTCTGTATATTCAAATATTAAATATCATTTCATTTATTTACTATTTATTATACGTAATTCAAAATTTACAATCACATGACACAATCTTTTTTGTGGAAATATTAATTCGTCTTGTATATGATGGATTTTAAGAGTTCATTTGATATTGAGTTGAACCAGCTAAACTGCGGCTGTAGGCTCCACCTGATTATGATCAACTTAAATCTTAAAGATGTACCAATTCTCTCCAACCTTCAAATTCCTGTTGATTTTGTTGACTATGTCTTGGATTTGGAAATGCCGTCTTCAAAAAGGTTTCAAGCCGGGCGAAAAAGAGAAAAAGAAAAAAAATAAAATTAAGGAACTCCTGTTTGCAAACTTTTACACTTGAATGGAAATGAACTACTCCTAGCAGTTTGTAAATATTTTAAATAAGGTTTTGCTTGAAAACTAGTGGTGGCACGATCCCCTGCATAGCCATATGCAGAAATTTATGAATATATATATTTTTTTACTTTGATATGCAATTTCCCCTGCACCACTGCCAGCACCATGAAACACCAGCAAACTGGCAATTTAGGTTTATTTCTCTGATCATCTGTTACTCCTTAGTTTCTTACCGCTTATTCCCCTGATCTTCCTTTTCCATCTCTACTTTCAGATTTCATTTAGTTAAATCAATGTACGGCTGTTTTTGATATTTCGCTGCCAAAATTATCCATTGATCATTAGGATTTAGAAGCATATTTGGACCAATCTCTATCTCTTTGCTCATCCTGTTTACGTACTTGCATAGGAAAGAATTTTTTTGCACGTGTATGTGTGTACATGCATTGCAGTATTATAGGCACTAGCAGAGCTTTCTTTTCATGCCCGACCCAGAGAGTTCTTTTTGTGTATATGTTTCTGTTCTCTTTTTGGATACCTCTGCTAGTGTTGTTTCGGCTTGTCCAATTTTTCAGCAATTATATTCCTAGTTTGGCTTAAAATGAAACTACTGTTATTTTATTTTGGCAGTGCATAACAATTCAGCATATCATACCCCAGAATTTAGTGGAACTTCTTTGAAGATGGAAAATATTCACCAACAAATTAGTACCATACCTAATGCATACACTATTGGTGCTTCTTCAATTCAGCCAACCTTACCTAGTGCATACACTAATGGCGAATCTTCGCTTCCATCGAGCATGCCTGTTGCAATCAATATGGCGGGTCATGGTGGAAGGATTGATATATCACCGAACATGCCATTGTGTCAGAGCTCTAATCCAGATATTATACAAGGAGCGATGAAATCAGTAGCTAGCCATGCAGATGATACTCATTTCATGTTTGTTGTGGACAGAAATCTTCAGCATCCAAATACGACAATAGGAGATGCATCAGTTTCACGTTTTGCTGGCATCGAGTCTAATTCACAGGCATCGAACAAGAGTTTCCTGGATCATGACATGAATTCATTTGGATTCTTGGGACAGATATCCCCAAACTTCAGTTTTTCAGACTTGACAGCTGACTTTTCTAATAATACTGGTTAATTCTCTCCCCCTATTCACTTTACGCCTGTGCATGAAAATTCAACAAAGCTGAAAAGTCAATTTTCTAAGAAACTACTTTTTTATTAGGAGGACGTATACTTTACTTTTATATGACTTAATTGATTTTTTGTCTTCAGATATATTAAGCTATTCCAAGTCTCCCATCCTTGGAATGAATGCGAACTTTGTGGATTGTCGTATTAGGGGAGAACAAGGTAAGGTTTTTGGCACCTGACATTGTTCTTGAAATTTCAAGGGTATATCTGATACCTGTGTCCTCTGTGAGCAGATATTAAGAGGCTGGACACTGTATCAGAAAGCTTCAGTTATGAAGATTTTGGCAGTGATTGATTGAATAATTTAAATGGTACCGCTTTCTATTTTACCTTTAAACTTTGGAATTGTTTACCTTTCCTCTTCTTCTCTATAAAATGTGCAAGTGCAGCTAGTAACCTCAGTGATTAATAACGTATGGTCTGCACTCAAATATTTTATGGGGGGAGTTTACAACTATGGTACCCAACCAATTTGTAAATATGTACTTCTACATCAATTTTTTTGATAAAAATCCCCAGTCAGTTTCCACGCTAGAGGTTCATTAAAACATCAACATGAGGTAATCTTTCGGAGTTTATTGAGTAGCTTGGAAAGAAATATACCTAAATAGGAAAAGAAATTAAAAATAAAGGGATTTCTCCTTCATTGGCACCCATGTTCTGTCACTGCCTCGCCGCCCACTATCTGGTTTCCCTGCTTTCCCTCACGTGAATTTAATATATCGGAGTCAGTTTACTTGACTTCTACTGTCTAGTTTATATCAGGTAACTTCAAAATCTGTTTTATTTCACTTATTTGGTGGAATATTTCGTTTATTGATTTCTTAAACTTAAAGATAAGGAAACAGGATAAAACTCTGGGTTTTAACAGATCTGATAGGTATCTTCTAGACATAAGCATTACCAATTCTAGCCCCTGGTGAGGTCAAATGTTGGACAATCGGATAAAGCTGCTGAAAGTTTCATTGAAATTCAACGAATTCTGATTTTTCGTCCCCAAGTAGCTCCTGAAAATTCTATTTTGAAGGCTTACAATATCACTGCCTAAATAATGTACCATTTTCTGGAGCCAGCTGTAATCTGGCTTTAGGGTCTTTGAGTGTTTTTAAAGGAGCAAAATTGAGCTGTGAACAGTTTGTTGGAGAGTCAATTTATTCCCTTCTGGTTTGCCCCTTCAATTGTGGGGAGGGGCAAAGGTGGCAGGTGTGGGGCGGCATTGACACCTTTCTGTGTGCTGCAGTAAACTTGGCAAGGGGAGGGATCTTTGATTCCAAAGTAAGTATAAATTGCACGATAAGGGAACAAGAAACTAGACGGTTGTCAGTGGGGGCATAAGAAGATTAGTTTTTTATTTTATTTTTGGCTTTTCTTTCATTTGTCAATTCAAAATAGCGATATAATTGTTCTATTACAAAGTGTAATTTGGCAGGACTTTTGAAAAGTCAAAATGAGTTTTTGAGACCCACAAGTTGCTTTTGGATTCATTGGGTTAATTTTATGAAATTGCTTCTTCTAGTTAAAGGAACTCTTAGTCATGCGAACCAGGGTGGAAGGCCGCCACTTTTTAGAATTAGTTGGGCGAAACTTGGACACTTGAGTCATAAAAAAAGAAGAATTTTTAGAGGAAGTTGATCCAACGTGGCTTTCTCTAAAAACAATCATAGAGTAGAAAGTTCTTTTAAAAATTTGTTTCCAAACAAAAATTAATGTATTTTCCTCTAAAAGCTATTCTACAGGAAATAAAAGAAAAAACTAAAGTCTTGCCAAATGAGCACTAACTATCCCTGCAACCATACAAGTTATTTCCTAATTCATATATGTAATCATCTCTAAGTCGTAATCAAAAGTGTCTGGGATCATGTTCTCATCATTATTGTCAAATATGTTAATCCCTTTTACAGCAAAGTAGCAGTTGGATATTTTATTAACAAGGCATTCTTTTGAGTTCTTGTGCTGAGTTATTGTTGCACCCATCTAACTTTCTGCTCTTGTGATCATGTTGTTGCAGGGAAATTGCTGGCTAGGAGAGAAGTTACTGTAAAAAGTGTTGAGAAAAATGTAGGAAAATTTGAAAACTTAATGAACTCCAAGGCATGAAAAACGTTATCTTTTAAGGATGTTTCTCCCTTATCCAACGAAGTCATGACTGAGGTATGATAGGAAATCTCTCTTAGGATATAATGGAGGCGTTTGATTCAAATTGTGACTATTTGATCAAACTAAGAAGACATTCGAAAAAAGAACTGATGATGCCAAGAGAAAGAGAGAAGAATATATATATATATTTTAATATATTTTGTAAACGCGAATTCGCTCAGAATTTATAGAAATTGAGGCAACCGTTTGAATAGGTGTGTCCCTTAAAATGAAGAACACATCTGTTGCAAATAACTGTCAAAACGAACAGATGCACCTATTCAAAAACTTTTGAAAATAAAATTCTCTTTCGGGGGCGTTGCCCCCCGAGCTCCCACGGGGGGCACTGCCGCCTCGACCCTCGCGATTCCCGTTACACAGCGGTAAACACTAGTCGGAGCGGCAAATCATTCACAAAACAAAAAAATAAATACATGCAAAATGATGGAAAATATCTAACAAAAAATTATCTCGAATTAGGGTGGTTCAAACTATTTGAAGGTCTTGATATTTCCGTGTTTGGTTAAAACTTTGATGATGACGAATTATAGTACTAGTTTTTTGGACCAACAAGGGATTAGATTATTACAAGCGAAAATTTGTTAATGTATACCATCCATATATTTTGATGTATGTTACCAAATCAGGAATTTTGTCATAGAAGTAATGCAGTGATTTCGAAATTCATGCTGATATTGTTTATATGCATTGGAATGACATATTTACTGTAATTATCGAAATTCATGCTGATATTGTTTATATGCATTGGAATGACATATTTACTGTAATTATCTGCTGGCATGCTTAGCTGAGCTTTGAAGCTACTGTGTATGGATAAATTGCTTTTTTTGTACTTCTAAGTAATGAAGTTACTCATTTGAAAGTAAGCCTACCTTCTACAGTAACTTGAATTGACACGTAAGATTTTCATCCATCACATGTAATTTTTTTGTCCAGGTAAACGGATGGAAGCAATCGGGTGATGGATGGGTAACTCTTTGTAAAAGTGAGTGAGCAGTTGGTAACATTTTATTTTAGGCTGAGCAAATAGTAACCGAACCTAAATGTTAGTGAGCAGGGATTTAATTAACTCAATGTGAAGGGAAATTTTAAGCAGAGATCTCAAAATTTTCAAAAATGTGCTACGAGGTTCCAAAACTTTCTATCTTAGCACCTACTTCCCAAATATTTTAAGGACATCTTTAGTTGATCAAAATTTCATCAGTTGATCTTTTTTTGACCAATCTAACTAATGGAAAAAGGGTCTATCCACACAAGCCCACTTAAAAGAAATAAATTAAACAAAACTAAAAAGAAAGAGAGAATAATTCAAAGAAAAGAAGAAGAAACTAAAAAATGAAAATGATTCATCTTCCCACAGCGCGCCAACCCACGGCACCCCGACCATGCCACTGCAGCCAACGGGAAGGATTTCTCCTCTTGGTTTTTGTCTCAAACCAGCGGGTTAGGGACTCGAGATGGCATGGCAGTGTGATGGCGGGGGGTGCGGAAGATGACATATTTCCAGTTTTGTGTTTATTTATTGTTACTAATTTTCTTTAATTGTTTTAAATGAAAAAATGTGGAGGGAGATCATTTCGCCCTTATTAAAATTGAGGTCGACATGTGACTTTTGGTCATCTAACAATTGTTGGACGGAGACCATTGAGACGTCGTCTCAATGCACATGTATTTAAATGTTCGAGATGTAAGTGCTAAGATTAAAAGGTTTGGGATCTTGTCATACATTTTTGAAATGTTTGGCACCTTTGTCCCAAATTTCCCATTTACTTATATAAAGGCCAAATATGCGTAGCTTAGTTCAACAATTGTAGGAGGCTAGTGGAGACTAATTGGGGCTAGAATTACATAAATCTTTCGTAGAAATGAGCCAAGAAGGAACTTTGCTCCATAATTCTATTTATCCATTCAAAGTTTTGTCGAAACTTGTTACAGAACAAATCTATTCCTATTTTTATACATCTATTTTTTGGGTTGAAGAAGAAGAAGAATCAAAGGGAAAGAAATCGAGAAGCCATTAATGAGATTCAAGATTCAAAATTAGTTTCCATATTCTTTCCAATTATTCAATTTTGGGTTGATGTTGTATAATTTAAATTGTGCTTTTGTAATCAATTTGATGCTTTGCTAATTGTATAGACTTTAAGGTTGAACTCTACTTTTGAATATCTAAAACTAGAGTTTGACATTAAATCATGTGTTTGATTTTGACCGATTGTTATTTGTCTTGTGATTACTCTAGACATTCAAGATAAGGAATGTGAATTTGGTAAATAGTGATAATTATTGTAAAGTTTGACACGGACTAGAGATATACCTATGTACTTTCCATGATTTTATGAATGTCTTTGTGTTTTAATGTTTCTTTATATATTCACGTCTTCCATAAAGATTTAAAAATTCAATGTGAGGATATATTAGTTATACCCGTGTTGAATTATTAAACGAATTACGAACATTGATCACTATATCCTAATACGTTAGTCTAAATCTTGAATTGATATTAAAATGGACAAAAGAAGGGAGATTCGAGATCTTAATGTTTACCAATTACTTGAGTTTCATAACACTTTTCACATTAGTTAGTTAGATTAGTTAATTTAGTATAGAATTTAGACAATCTCCAATGGTTAGATAAATTTGCTATAAAAAGCACTCCAATAGACAAATTTTGTGTAAATTTTGGTATAATAAGTAGTGTTGTACTAAATTGGGGTAACACTATCCATCACAACAAATTTGAAGTTTTTCAATATTTTTCGTTCTGCCCTCCCATTTCTTTTACAATTTTTTTTGTTCCAACTAGATCCCTTTTTAAGATTTTTCAGAATTAATTGATTTTAATTGATTTATATTGTTTTAATGCGATGGTTATTTATATTTAACATATATTCTTAAATTCTAATAAACTAATAAGTAATAATTATTGATAAAATAAATAAAAATTGTTTACTAAAAAGTCAAAAGTTACAATTGTGATAATTAAAAATTAAGTACAAATTAGCACTAGAACAACACAAAT